AAAAACTTCCAAGCTGACGTCTGGGATGAGGAAGATTTTAGGAGATGGTTTCCTCAGGGAGAAGGGGAGGGGCACCGCTTTAGCATCAGCCTACAGTTTCCTTTCGTATCTCCTGACAAGGATGAATAATAGATGTGTAGTTTTGAAGCCAGTGAGTGAAGCAAACCAGGCTTTGGAGGTCAGTTATGCTGAATTGCTGGATCTGTCTCAAAGAAGGTATAGTGTATACTCTGAAGAAGACCATGGAGACGCATGCAGAAGAACAAGCTCCAGTCACTGCTCCACCAATAAATAGGAAACTGATCTGAAAAAGAGAGTGTAAAAATGGAGGGTTCCCAAAGTTCCTCTAACTTAATGATACCCACCTCCATTCTTGTGGGGGAGGAGAGAACTAGTATCTAAGGAACAGACTTATGTGATGTCTGGGGTTTTTATCTGTAGCACTACCATCAGGAGAGGGTTAACTTCTCCTTATGTTTAATTTCAGAGGTTTCACATGAGATCCAGGTTGTGGATTTTATTTCCTTCTTCCAACAAACACAATTCTGATGATCAGGCTCTGAAAATCTGCTTTGAGCAAGGGGGTGGCTGGACTAGGTGACCTCCAGAGGTCCCTTCCAACGTCCAATGTTCTGTGATTCTGTGAAATCAGTGTTGCTGAAGTGGCTACACAGTGATGACCTGAAGGTCTGACCCCATCTTCATATCTTCAGATTAAATATTGCAGAGGTCTCAGTCAGTGCATAACCTTACCCAAGACAGTAGTTACTTACCAAGCCGTTGGCATTTGGTTTGGCATTTCTTCTTATATCAGTAGGCCTGCATGTGCTGTAAGTAAACACAGAACTGGACGTTCTTTGACTTTTGGTAAAAATGGAAATGCCAAAATGCACCACTAGGAAGGGGTGGGGGGAAGCAGGTGTTGAGAGGCACCTCTCATGCTATCCCCCATAGTAAAACTAAAATACAGTAATGTGATGAGAAAGTGCAGTTGCGCAATGGTATTATCAAACTGTAATGGTATTTAAATGCAAATTCCTAAACTCAGCACTCCTTTGTTTCCATAGTTAACACTCCTCCTCTGCTGTTATTCACACCTTAATACCCTGTGCTGAAAGCACATGCCATGTCTGACCCCGGTGAGCAGCTGTACTGAAAAGACTTGTCATATGAGCACCATCTATGACCCATGTCACAGAGACACCATTTGTAAATTCTGTGTGGCAAGGCATTTAATCTGTACGCGACAAATTCTGCTCCCTTGCTGTGATTGACATAAAAAATAAATAATGAAAAAAGGAATAAACTACTAGTGGACCGGGTAAAATAAACTACCTTCACTATAATCAGTAACCTTGTGGCACTGAACTGGGATTATTGTTAGTGAAGATACCTAGATCCATTGTTTTCTTACTCTGTTTGGAGGCTAAGTCCATAAACTTTTATGAGCTATAGTTTAGATAATGTTAGGAAATAGCTTGTCTGGAACTAAAATTATCTCATTGTTTGAAATGGGCAGGGACAGGTTTTGGTCTTTTCTGCATTAGTCTGCTATAAAACATCTTATCATTCAAGTATTATGGAACTGCGTGCTAAATTTCTGGTTTTATACATGAAAATACAGTGGGTCTGGCTTCTTGATGGCTGTGGCTGCATGTGGGTACGATCATTAGTTCATAAGACATCTGTGGAAAAAAGCTGAAAGAATATTTATATTCTGTTGGGTTTTTTAAAGAGATTCGCAGGTTTATCTGGGTGGCTATCTTTATGATTGTTAGAAATGTGTTTCCTTTGACGTATTCCCATCATAACTGGGATTAATGGCATTCTGGAGGCTGAGTGTAAACTCATTTATACAGCAAATCAGTGGCAGAATGAGACTACAATCCAGGTTTTCTGCATTATCCAGCTGCCTTGACTTCTGAGAAGAAAATGGTGACTTATTTCTAGCCTTTTGGGATTTATATAGGTTTATAACCTAAGTCTGTGGAAGTCTCCCCCTTTTCAATAGCCTAAAGAAAACTGTTTCCTTTCAAAAAGAGGATGTATGCTATCAGCAAACTGAGATGTGCTGCACGTGTGGATACCACTAATGAAAGAAAAGAGCACTCGAGCACTTTCCTCACCGAGGTTTTTTTCCACTGGGATAATACACTTGGTATCTTCTGGTCAGTTATAGTTAGGGAAGAAGATGAGTTTTATACCATGTTGTTATTTTTGCGGTACTCAATAAAATTTTGTTCTTGCTGGTGGTAGCTGAATCTCAGGGCACTACTGTTCTCACGCAAAATGGCGCTCTCAAAGAACAGTGCTAACTGTCCTAGGTCCGCCGTTTTAGGCAGTCACTCTTCGTAGGCGTTCACACTGTGTTCAGACAAGTTCAGTGTTGTTTGCTCTGACAATGTACCAAATGAGTGCTCCACTTAGAAGCAGAGCCAAGGTCTCGGAGAGAATACTGCCAAACAAAGGCACAATCAGGAAGGAGCTGGAATTTGTGATGTTCGGAACCATTGTTTGGCCCCACCATCTCCAGCCCAAAGCCCCCAAATTTTCAAATTCAGGTCTTTGATTCAGGCTGACTTTTCACTGAGGTCGATTGTTTTCAGACAATTTTTTTTTTTCCTTTTTTCTTCTTCTGTCAAGAACTGTTAAAAGAATTCAGCTCTTAAAAGTGCCTCCCTTCTGCTATGTATTCCTTAATTGAGTTCTTGGCATAAGGACAGGAGAAACTATTTCTAGCTATTAGAGTAGCTGTGTGAACTGGGAGAGCCTCCAACTTTTAGGAATACATTCAAAGGCTTCAAGAAGATCCAAATTTCCGGATAATTTTTACTCCTTTGCTTGGTCAGCTGTCAGTATTTGATAAATAGGGTGGGACTATTGTCAATATTTAACAGCTCAGCACAAATATTATTCTTCATACACTGTAAAAATAGTATATGGAATGCAAATTAAGCACTTCATTCTATGGTTTGGTAGTAACAGAAGCAAGGGATAAAATCTTCCTTGCCTCCCTATGAAGGCATAGAGAGGGAGGAAAATGTTACCAGTGGTAAGTCTTCCCTGCTGCGAAACAAAACAGTGAGATTCCTCGCTCCTCCCGCCAAAACTCATGTCCCAGGGCGGGTGAGAGACAGCAAGGTATGACTGTTAACTCAAACCAGATTACCAGTGAAGTCTTCGGTAACAGAGCTCCTCCTAACTCCAGTGGCACGTCACCAGGACCCCTCGAACATCTCTGCAGTCAGGTGTTGCAATACAGAACCAAATTGCCTCTGGAACTTTCCCTGTATTTGGAGAAATTGTCCCAAAAATCCACCATTTGGCAGTAGCTTGCTGGATGGAGCAGCCTGCCCTCTCCATAGTTGTGTGCAACATGACTACGGCATTACTGTCGTTTAGAAGATGAAGATGCGCTGTAGTCCTGCAATGTGAGATGGGCTTCATGAGTATCAGATGTAGTCCTGGGTGCCACTTCCCAATCCTGCATTCCCAAATGGCTCTCTGACTTTAAATCTTTAGGAACATATCACTATGTAAGTGATCTGACATGATAGCCAGGAGATACTATTTTGTCAGCTGAAGGAGAGGAACTGAATGTAAGATGGCTCAGCTGCAACCATGCTCAGTGAAAACTGAGGTTAACTGGCAAGAAGTCCCAGCACCGCTCAGCCCAGCATGCCTCAGCAACGGTACTTTTCTTGGTAGCTAGGTTAAGCCGCCTTCCACATGAAACAAAGGATAAGGAACAGAGCCAGTTTATTCAGGAGACTTTCAAATCTGGCATTGTCTCAGATTTGGCTTTGGCCCAGCATGAAATGGGGTTTATGTGTTCCTAGAGCTGCCCTGCAGAGAGGACCCCGAGGCAGCAGGAAGCAGCGCAGTTATTAGAATTGTAGTTTGCTGGTTACTCTGTAAATGTGTGTGAGTAAATCCAGGCAGAAACACAAAAAAAACAGTAAAACACTGTTACTCCATTTTGTCCAAAACAGGCAGATGGCTTACCGTTAGTTGAAACTAGTTCTTCCTCAAATCCTTCACTAGGATTACTGCACTGTTAATGTGTTTCAACTGTTATCCATAAGAGTCAGATCCCAAAGCCCCTTCCATTCTTTTCCTCTCCACCTCACCATAGTGCTCCACCGAGAACTAGAAAGCTGAGCAACCTTGATTTACAGACTGAAGGATAATTTCAGCACCCTGTAAGTGCATCATGTTCCTGTACACTGCTTCCACTCCTGCTTTGTCTTGGCTTTCTCACTAGTCACAACAGAGCAATGTCCCTGTCTTTGCTCGTGAAGTGCTTTGAGAACTGGTGATAGATAGTACATATTTCTAAATAGTTAAGACCTTTCAGACTTAGGCAACTATCACATCAGTCACAAATAGTTCATATAAATAGACTAACTTTCTTCATTCTTAATTATATGAAAAATCCAATTAAAAAGAAAAAAGAGGTAGAGATGGAAAAATTCCCTCTCAGTGAATACAAACTCCGTGTGTACCTGAAGTGGTCACGCTGAAATTGCCCTTCACCTTCTGTGAATCAAGTTTGTTCAACCTCTGCGAATTCCAAACACCAAATCCAGTTTTGCTGGACAGAAGGAGATTGTAAGGATGGGGTGAGCATTTAAACTGGACATTACTAGACAAGGACTGAAAGACAGATGGCGCATTGTCCTGAACAGTTAAATCCTGTGTTGTACTAATTCTGTTCAAGTACAGCATTTCCTCTAGCTAATAACTCACATGTGTCTTGCACTATTTGTCTGGTTATTTTAGTGTGGTCTGATGCTGTTAGAGTAAGTCTGCTAATTCTCTCTGAGCTAGCAGCAGCTAAAGCTGAGAATACAAGGTTGTTCAAAAGAGGCATGATATTAATTGTTGTTTATTTCTATAGCATATCATTATTTGAAAAAGCAGGATAATGATGGTTTCCTTCAAGAAATATTTGCAAACTTCTCAACTCTCCTATCATGCATTATGATATCAGATTACTATCAGGTGTAGCCAATGAGCCGTGGGTTGCTGGGGAAGACTTTGCGCATGTCCATACACTTCTTGTCAATAAAGAAGGAGTTTGCCTTCACAGAAATGTCACGTTCCAGCTTTGACTTGTTGTGGAGCAGCATCTGCTGAGTATCACGGGCTTCTTGCAGACATCGCTTTAAGGTCTGTATGGTGTCATCTATAGTGTAAACTTCAGTAACCAGCCTGCAAAGAGAGAAGGGGACAGGTTGCTCAATAACTGTATCAGTCCCTCAATACGTTCCTCTTCTGACAGCAGACAGGTCTCGCTTTCAGGTAGGATTTGAACAGCTGTCTTGGAGTGAATCAATATGAAACCTATTTGCCAAACTAGCTTGCATAGCACCTGTAAGAAGTGAGGATTTCTTGCTTGTGTTGGCCTTCAGCACAATCAGCAGAGTAAGCCACTCTGGTATGTCTTTCTAACTGCTCTCTCCTCACTTGCAGCCTCTCAAATGAGTAGCCTCTCTAGGGCTAGCACGGCTGCATCGAGAACTTGCACGGGGTCCTGCAGAATATGTTTGGGATAGAAGTTACTGGAGAGTGGTGTAGGTCAGAATAGCTTAAGCTTGTGCAGCAGGATGTGCTAAACGGTCTAGATACGGCGCAGAAGCGTGTTGATTGGAAGAAGAATCGTTTGCCAGAACAACCATTGCACGTGGAGCTCTGATACCAAGATTTTCTGTGAGCCGTCGTTAGCCACGTTTCTTCCAGAGGCTTATCAATGCAGATGGGGCAAATCTTCTTGTATAGTCACTGAGCTGGTATGCTCTCTTCAATACTGTCCACTTTGTGTTTTGTCTAATGGTCTATTAATTGCTCAGTACACTATATACTATAAGAAAGATTGATTTTTTTCCCAGAATCCACTTGAACTTGTTTTGGGACAGCCCCAGTTGTTTCGGCACAGAAAAACTAGACTTTATGAATTTGTTTTCTGTCTGATCCCTTCAACTAGGAAGTTGGCAGCACACACAGGGAACAAGTGCCAACATCAGCACTTCCTTTTAAATAAACAGCAAACTCCGATAACATTTACATGTTACAAAGAAGTGGTTCATATGATATTTACTTTCCCTATTACAGTTGAGCTATTGGGCTGAATTCCCTCTTGCTTTAAAGCACATGAGAGAAATACACTTAAATTATATAAAAGCAAAAATATTCATTAAAAAGTACATTAGCAAATGATTTTACTTTCTCAAATAGGATTTTGTCTCTCAGAAAATACATTTTGAGATGTGAGCTCAACTGAAAACTGCGATAGAAATTCTGACAGAGTATTTGAAATTTGGACTTTTTTTCTATTTCTAATTGCATTTATGACGAACATAACATTCAATGATTTGGATCGGCTAAAGCATCCAGCATAGCCTGGTATGGATTAGGGAGCTGTGGTAGAGCAAAACTCACATGCCTTGGAGGAAGGAGAACAGGATATGCTAATTATCTGTCAATACAGCTATATCTAGTGAGCAGTGTACTTGTATAAACATTTTGGTTAAAATATTAGAAATCATATTAGACTGACAGAAAACTTGCATGTATGTTAAGTCTAAAATCCTTCCCAATAGCTGTGCAACAGCTTGTGAAGCTTTTGTAGAACTTAGAAGCTGGTAGGAGCTAGACTGATTCAGAATCCCTGTGTACTTCTGGTTTTTTAAGTTTGCCACATTAATGTCCTTTCACTCTGACGTGAAGACAATATTCAAAGACATTCTGACATTCCAGTGACTTCAAATGAAGATTCCAAACTTTCTTAGACAGGACCCTTTGGAACATCAGCACCATCCCTGGCAATTGTGGGAAGAAGGGATAATGTGACACCGTGCTGTTTTGATCCTAAATCAAACAAGTCTTATGCCTTGGATAGGTGCAATCCTGCTGACTGGACGGATGCCAGCCACAATGCTGCAGACATTTTTGTGGAAGAGATCTTCAGGGAGGAAGTAGAGAAAGAACAAGACTCAGTGAGTATAAAACTGGATTCATGTATTAATTTTTAAGGTTATCTTGTTTTGTTGTTTTGAATAAAATGCTGATACTAGGTTGTCTGTATACCTAATTGACAGTGTGGTGGGAACAGCAGTGGCAAATGATCCACTCCTATAGTAAATGTAACTGCTAACTGAATGCTACCGTGTAAGCAGAAGTTTTTCTGGTTTCTCACAGCTGAACTCCTGCATCTAGAACAGGCATGATGTATGTGATACGAAAAGCCACGTAAATAAAACTATCCAAATGGATATAAAAGAATTCAGATCCAAACAGTATTTTGTGACAGAATGGACGTGAAGAACAGAGCATGAAGGTGAAGAAATCTAAGATATGGATGCGCCAAAGGAAATGTCAAGATCCAATTAAGGAGGTATGAGGCTGAAAAAAGATACAGTGCATTGTACAATTTCTGGTTTAAGGAACTGGAGAAAGTGAAAAGATGCTAGTACGATAAGCTATGATTTATTGACACTTCTTTTGAATAGAAGCTTTTTGAGCTGATAAAACACTGTTTCGGAAAATTAATATAAATACTCAGTTTAAGCATTATATACTTCATTAATCTCATTGCATGCAAGGCTGTTGCGTATATAGTGGGATTTTGCTAGAGACAACAATAAAAAGGGAATAGTTTTCTACTGTTCGTAAAAAAAAAAAGTGCAAAATTCTTTTACTGGACTGTGAAATTCACTCTGGCTATGGAAGGAACCCTGGTGCAGCATTTCTTGAGAAAACCCCCACAGAGCATTTTGAAGACAGTATTTTAAATAAGATATACTTGATAGGGTTCTTCTAGAACACTGATGTGTTCCAACTGGATTGGGGGCAGATAAATGGGATTAAAATTCGGAAGACCCTTCTTCAGTCATTAGGGAAGGAAGGATAGTATCTCGGGCGTCTTCCTGTATGTATTGTGTGATATGCTGCACCGTGGATCAGAGCACAGGGATCACCCAACTGATCCCAACATATGCTGAGAAGCTCCACAGCTATAAAACCAAAATGTGTGCCAGGTGAGCTGGCCTGTACCAAGGTGATACTGGAGTCGCTATATAGTTGAAAACTAGTTGCAGCAGTAAGAGATGCTGCCTCATTCTTGTTTGCAATTAACTTTTTAAGGAACTTAGATAGCTTTTTGCATCAAAAGACAGAATTTTGTCTGGAGTAACATGTTTCTATAGTTAGGTATTTCCTAAAGTGAAATCTTGTTTCATACAGAATGGAATCAAAATCAATTCCGAAGTCCCAACTCGGACATGAGACTGAATCCCAAAAGATATCAGTGACCAACAAGCAATTGAGCTCTTAGCTGTCCTGGAAGAGGGACTCTAAAGGCAACTGCACACATTGAACTTTAGATGTTTTGGCCAGTTATTTCAACGTAGCTACCTGGATTTTGCTTCTTTCTCCCAGAACTTGTATCGCAATGTAATGAATGCAATTCTAACTGCATTAAATTGGTTCACACTGTCCTTAACTTTCCTGTCCTTGAATGGCTGATGAAGGAAGGAATGGGATAGTCTGGTTTTTACTTACTGAAACTGAGATGCATCACGGCAGAGTTCTATATTGGGTCATCTAGTTCTTCCCTCCAGATGGGTCTGAGCCCCTTTCAGGGGGTACTCCTTCGCCTCTATGGATCTCTCCAGTAACTGGATTGTATCTTCTGTCTAGAAGATTTCCTGAAGTATCTGAGCAAAGCAGAACACTTTTATAAGCCTCATGTGCACACAAAATCAGAACTCAATCCCACTTTTAAACCCTCCTATGGGAACTGCTTCCATTCTGGCATGTTGTTTTACTTAATTTAGGGGAGGAGATTGTTATAAACTCGCATCAATCAGATGGATTTGTATAACGTAGGTGTGATCTTGCCATTTCTTTAAAAGGACTTCTGGTAATTAAATCTCATAGAGAGCCAGAAGGCAGGGGCTGTACACCCATACATCACAGGAAAGCATTTAATGGAGTTGTTCCTGGAAAACAGGTGACCAACATTCACTAAGAAATGCACCATCTCTTTCCTATTATGAAATTAAGAAGTTTATAGGCAATTGGAATATAAGTTTATTACAAGCAGAAGAGAAGCACTGAATTATTGTGATGGGGGAAATTCCAGTTTTGCTTTTGGGATTATGGCATTTTTGTGCTGTTTTCACAGAGGCAGTGTTTATAGCTCTACAGGGACTTAGTTCCATTTTGCTTCATTATCTAATTTTTCTCCCAAATAACAAAGAAGAAAAATCTCCTGCTTGAGCTATGAACATTTTGCAAAGGTAAAGTTCCAATAAACTGCCATTTTCATTTAATCCTTCATTCAATTCTTATTTCCTTTTGCCTCATAAAAACTCAAAAGCAATCAAACATGTCCCCTCTGAAATGGTTTCATACTGCAAGTATTTGGGGGACATTTGATGCAAGAACATATGAACACAAGTTATATTTTCATACTGCAACTAAATTCTCAAAGTTTTGAAAACTCCACTGGGAGCTGAAGAGGGAAGACCAATTTCCTTTAAAGGCTTATTTTCTGTAAATGGAGAAGGTATGGAGTGAAACGTCACCAAAAAGGAGAGGCCTGTGGAATTAGTACAGCATAGTTTTTAGTTGCAGTGCATGTTGTTATATAATCATATTATCCCTGAGAAACCTGTAAGTGCTCCTTATATGTTTTGATCTGTATGGAGAAAAAAAAAAAAAAGAGAAACTGCAAGGGAAAATCTTCGCGCAGCCTTAAGAAAGAAGCGAGAAAATGTTTACATTCAGGTAATATTTCCCAGCCTGTTGATTATTATGTTACTTTCATTTCTCACGATTCATTACAGCCGATGTGGTGAACCTGTTCTAGCTTTTCCTGCAGACAGCTTTGAAAGGGAGGAAAGCAATTTGAACTAATCTAGCGTCTCAGCCAGTCTACTAAAATCAATGCCACTGGAATTTCTACAATGCCAAAAATGGCATAATGTGATTTAAATTATGCTGCTATTTACATCTTGCCTACACACCAAGTTGTACCAGGTTTGCTAATGATGTGTGTGGTTTGAGAATTGAATGGGGACCTGCTGCTGCAAAGGTGCTTGTAGACAAAACCCAAAGAGTTCAGGATGCCAGGAACCTGCACCCCAGTTCAAATCCTTAAGGGCTTGTTGATGTTATACGGTAGAGCAGTGTGAGATCTCCCGGCCAGCACTGTCCAAACCAGTTCAAGTCTTACAGCAATGCAATTTTCCAATAGACGAATCATTCTGGACCACGACACAGCAGCATATGAGCATGACTAGTGATTTGAACCCAGGTCTCCACACTGTACTGAGCCCTTTGGGTCTGAGACTGGTTCCCACAGAGCTAGCTTGAGAGCATCTTCACCCAAAAAGAAGCCTTTATTGCTTAAAGACTGCAGGGGAAAAAACTGGTTATTTGTTTTGCAGAGGAACTACTTATGATAAGAGTGCTTTGTTAGATACATCATTTTATGTCTACAATTTCAGCAGTTACGCATACTTATTTCTACAGATCAGAACGAAGGAAAAGAGACTTAAGGAAGTTAAACGTCTCCATTACACATCAAGCCCACATCCTTCCTTTTCCATGAAAACACGAACAATTTGAGTCTTCTGCTGCTCAGAAGCAGCATTTGAGTAGTTTGTGCCATCATCAGAACTTTGCTATCTCTAGCCTGTCTAGGAGGATGAGGTGCAGGTTCATCTGTGCATGACAAAGGCAGGCTGCTGGTGATTACACAGACGTGTGCCAGCGAGAGTTTCACAGCCCTGTCAGCCCTGTCCTGTGCTCCCACTGCTGACCTTCCTTGCTAACCATAAACACCAACTGGAGGGGACGTACCAAGGCTGTGAGGCAAAGCATGCACTGTGCTCTTAGAGGTCACCCACTGCTCGGCAGGGTCCTCCTTTGCTGGGTCTGTTACAGCTGCTGTCGCACAGCGGTGTTCCCCGTGCTGCGCCCGACCGCGTGCCAGCGAGCCCAACGCCCTGTGGCGCAACCCTGTTACCTGCAGGGACCATGGTTAAGGATGCTGGCCGCTTACATTAAGTCCACTTACAGTTTGGAGCAAAGTGTAAGCTGAATTACGCTTTTTATTATAAAGAAATAAATCCAAGTAAAACAATGAATCAAAGCAGCACCTGTCTCTGCCCACTAAGAACTGAGCAAAGTTATGTCTCAGTTTCAGACAGGATGGGGAGGGTTGCGTTCCACTGATGGTGGAGCAGAGGACTTGCACCCTCAGCTCAGATTCCAGGTAGGACCTTTGTGGTTCAGACTTTCAGCTTTACTGGCAGTAACGCTTCCTCTGTTGGGCAGCGGGTGGAAATGGTGATTCACCTTTGGAGTAAATCTATCAATGAAACAGCGTGATTAAAGCAGCCCAGAGCACTTGGTTAGAAATGAACCATGACTGTGAAAGCAGCTCCCCAGAGCAATGTCGCAGTCCACAAATGCATGCGTGTTGTGATAAGCATGCAGTGTAGTCACTGTGCTGATACTTTCTGCCCTGTGATAATACCAAGCAAAACAATTTAACTTATTCGGTGAGTGGAGTTAGGTTACAAGCTCTCTTACACTTAGTGAGTGCTAATTGCTCTAATCAGGTTAAAGGAGAGGATGAAATTTATATTTTCTGTGAGAAAAAAAAAACTCTAGTACTGTATGACAATGCTCCTGTCATGGGTGGGTGCCCTTTACTCTTTCATTCAACTTGCGTGAAAAAATAACTTGCATATCAGCTTGTTCCTCCTGCATCCCAAAAAGCCAAGCTGATTCTAGTACAGACAAGGCTGAGCCGATTGCCACGTGTGTACTGTCCTCAGTCCCACGGAAAGGCCAGTCTCGTTCAGCTCAGCTAGCAGGGGGACCTTTAGAAGAGTGGCTTTCTGAACCCGTGCTTTTCTCAAATCCTCTGCTGATGCATTCATACGTGGCCACAGCGCAAGTACAACTGCCAAACCACAAACCCACGTATTTCAAATTCAGTAGTGATGAAAGTTGTTAATCACCAAACCTGTGGCTTGTTTCCATTCCTTTCCAGCATTTGCTGTGCTGTGCTGTCAGACAGCACCTGCCCAGGCCTCGCTGCCCTCTGCACGCGGAGCAGACACATAGGTGTTCCCTCAGTGACACAGCAGCAGGAGCCTGTATTGTCCTTTCCTTTTAGAATACCAAGTCATGTATGCACTTCTCCCATAAATTATGGCATACAAATGACACAGGACAACAGCAGTCTTGTACCTAGAGGTGACTCAAAGTTTTTAGAGCTTGCACAGCCCACAAATGTACAAAACATTAATGTTCGAAAAGGGCAAGCTCTGAAGTCTAAACAGAAAATGTTTCTCTTTATTCAGAATCCAGTAGCTCATTAGTCATGAAAAGAGTGCTTTTATCCAAAAGCCACTGAAAACTCAGCCTTCTGTCCAACCCTTGTACCCCTTTGTGTCGGCACAATGTGCAGCAACCACTCTGCTGCCACTCGACTTTGCGAGGTGCTCTGGTGTCCTGCTCGTAAAGGTGGGAGCAGTCTGCAAGCACGCTATGCACAGTCAAGGCAATTAATTAGTGCTATTGAGCAAACCCCTCGTTCACTCACTAAAGAAAAAGGTTGTTTAAACCTGCCTGTGAACTCTGAATTCAAACATCAAACTATGCATCCACCTTTAAGCCCTGCTTGGCTGCATGTGAGTGGATGGGGTTTAGGTTCAGTCTGTGTTCTTAAATTTTTTTCTTACTTTTTTTTTAAAGCGCTGTCATTTAAGACATACAAAGAAAAACGTCCTCGGGGAACCCCCTCCAACACATCGCAGAAGCGTTGTACAAATAGTTTTCGATTACTCATCCTGGCCACACATTGGATGAAATGATTTAGATAATCTGCTCTACATAAAGGGATTGGTGGGGAGGATCACCAGATAGCATTGCACCAGTCTGCGTCATTTCTGGACGACCTCCAAAGGCAGGAAGCAAAAAAAACAAATGCTGAGCAGCGTGTTCCGAAGGGAGCATGGTGAGGGATTGGCTCGGGCAGCTGCCCGTCCGGAAACCTTCCCTTCCAGCACACAAGTAAAGTTTTGTGCTGCAGCGTTCTGGAGAGCTTGTCGAAAACTGCACTCCCACTGCTCTCTCGCTTCCCCAAGGCCATGATTTTTGTAGGCTGGGTACAGGAGAACCAAGAGGAAGACCCGCTGAAGTCACACAGCTTTCAGCATGTAATTAGGGTACTCTTACGTACAACATAAGTATTTTAAAAATGCTACAGTCTGATAGCGATCCTTGTTTCTTTGTTGTTTCTGAGGTTTGCTCAGTGTTTATTGCCTGAATTCAAAAAGCAGTAGCCAGGTAACATGGTGGGAGGAACATTCTTGTGCCTCCTCATTTTGTGAATTTTTTTCTATTTAATATTTTGCCTCTTGGTTTTTTGAACTTTTTTCATCCATATTTCTATATTTCATCCAAATTATTTTGTAAAAGTTACATTTGTTGAGGTTATCATACTTAATTGAATTAAGAGTGTGACTGATTTCACAATTAATTTTTGGGTTTATGACCACACTATTTCAAAGTAGAATTCTGATATCTGGCAATCTTTGGATTACAAGTTTTACCCAGATCTCAAATCTCAAATTAATTTGGACCTGACAGTTTTTACTGTCATGTCATAGACAAATTCATGATAGAGATTACT